CCCACGGTCAGTAGGCCACGGCCAGTAGGCCCCGCCCACGGCCAGTAGGCCCCACCCACGGCCAATAGGCCCCGCCCACGGCCACAACCCGCCGCTGATCGCCTCCCTTTGTCTCCTGCAGCAAGTGATCCGGGTCTACAGCCTGCCTGAGGGAACCTTCAGCTCCGATGAAGAGGAGGAGGAAGAGGAGGATGAAGAGGATGAGGAGGAGGAAGGTGAGCTCCTGGTTTATTTTTGTCTCCTTCCTCTGCTGCTTCAGTTCGTTTACTTGGAGCAACAGAAGCTGCGTTTCCATTAATGTTCTCAAAAATGTGTTGATATTTTGCTCATTCAAAAAAACACTTTTATGAAATTATGGTTTTACTTTGAATAAAAAACTAAATTAAAATCACATGTAAAGAAGTTTGTTCACACGGTAACAAGGCACTCCAATAACTTCCTGTCGTTAGACCTTTCACAATAAAGCAATTAATTGCATCATAAATGACAACAAACTCCATAGTTTCCTTTTGCAGGATTTATGGCTTTTCTCTCTTTCTACCTGAAACTGGATGATGAAAGTCTTTTGGTCCCACTGAACCTTTTTAGAATCATTTTATGTTCATAATTCATTCTTAGTTGTTTCTATTATTTTGTTTTTGATATTTAAATGTCTTCCAGCTCCAGTGTTAAATTAGAATTTAAGTTTATTGATCTTTGATAATTGATTCTTCTGTTATTATCACCATTATTGGCACCCATGAAGTTTTAATATAACCGAATATTTACTGAATATTTCATCAAGTGAAACATCATTTTACTGCTGATAAAAGATAAAAAACATTTAAAAAGATAAACATTATGAGGAAAACAAAGAAAAACATCATTTTTACCACATCAGTGGTATTGGCACCCTTTGCTGCAAATCACAAATAAAGATCACGTGTGATGAACTGCCTCCACACATGACATGAATTAACCAATGAATGACCATGTTGGTCCATCTCCACATGTGACGATGGTAAAGACAAAGGATCTGTCTGAGGACATCAGAAATGCTGCTGTCTGTAAGCACAAGACCTCCAAAGGGTATAAAGCCAGAGACCGAGGTGTCCCTGTTCCAACGGTGCGAAATGTTATCCAGGCATGGAACGGTCAGGAAGCTCCCTGGACGAAGGGGGAAGAGAAAAGTCTTCGACGGTTGGTGCAAGTGGTGGAAAAACCACCACGTCTCGCATCGAAAGGCCTAAAGACCAGCCTGGAGCCGTCTGGTGTGATTGTTTAACAAGTACCACACGCCGCACACTAAACAAAGTGGGGCTTTATGGGCGGAGGCCCAGGAAGACTCCACTGCTGAAGAAAAGACATAAAAAAGAAGTTTGATCTTCACAAAAGAGAACCTGGACAAACCTCAATCCTTCTGGAACAACGATTTATGGACAGATGAAACAGAAGTGGAGTTTTTCAGTAAATCACACAAACAGTGAGTTTACAGACGGCGCAATGAAGCCTTTAAAGAAAGAACACCATACCAACAGTCAAGCATGGTGGAGGATCCATAATGCTGTGCAGCTGCTTTGCAGCATCTGGTACTGGAGGCCTGGGCCGTACCACAGGCATCATGAAATCAGAAGATTATCAACCAATCCTAGAGTGAAGTGTAAGGAAACTTGGTTTGTGGCGAAGATCCTGATCCTCCAGCAGCCCGGCCTGGTTGGAAGGGAAAACGGACTTTTTAAAACGGCCAGCAACGAGTCCTGAGCTGAAAATCTTTGGGTGGAGCTGAAATTGGAGAAAGGAACCCTGCAAATGTACAAGAGCTTGAGCAGATTGCAAAAGAAGTGTGGGAGAAATGCCACCTGAGAAGTGCAAGAAGCTTATAGATGATATAAAAAACGTTTGGAGGCTCATTGCTGCCAAATATTAAAGACGGTGTCAATATTAGTGCACATGCTGGTTTTCCGTTTTGTCCTTTGGAATTAAAATATTTATGTTGAAATGATAAATGTCTTTGTTAAATTACTTTGGACCTCAAATTAAAGATCCTGCTGATGTAGGTTTTGAACATTTCCATTTATTCTGAAGATATTCGCTCCAGTCATGAGGGTGTCACTAATGCTGATCAGATTCTAACATCACTGGTTTGTTTACCTGCTGACTTTAACTCAGTTTTTTGTAAATTAAGATGTTTTTATATTAAAGTGTTTGTTTTATGAGTAAAAGTTTCAGTTCTAAGTGTCATATTTTGTTCTCATTTCAGATGAAGAGAATTAATGCAGCGTTTGCTTCGTTGACCAGATCTGCCTCCATCTTTACAAAGAAACAATTTAACTCCCATTAAATTTCAATAAAGACAAGTTGGGCAAATTAATGCGTCATGTTTTTATTGTTTTGTTTGGTTTTTACAGAAATGGGTCGATATTCTCACAAGTTGATCCATAAAGAATAAAGTTCAGACAAATGAAAATAATGTTGGGATTTGAACTGAACTGTCAGTAAATAAGGAGTTTCAACTGTTGCATGCAGGTAAATGAATATAAATATTTCTGACTGACCTTGGAGTGAAGCGATGCGGCTCTTCATGCAGGAGACGAGCCTGAGGTCAGGAAGCTCTGTGACCTCCAGGTCACCTGCACCGTCGGCGGCCGTTTTGACTTTGTGTCACAATCTTTCAAGGTTGTGGTTTCACTTCTTTAGTTATTTATCATCCTTCCACTCAACTTTCCAAACCAGCTTTTCTTTGGGAAAAGCAACAACATTTCCTTTTTCATTAATTATGCATTTTTGATGAATTGATATTTAATTTGAAAGCTGTAAGAAGCTTCTGGATGACGGAGTGATTAGTTTTTATGTGTAATTTTAGGGATGTAAAATGTGGCGGTCAGCCCAGAGAGGAACAGTTTAAATGGAAATGAGTCAGAAAGGCTCTTGGTTGACCTCTGACCCAGATAACATTAAGGTCCAGCTCAGCATTCAAATGTTCAGTTGCTCCTCTATTCAAATCCTCCTCCACCAACGGCTCTTCATCACTCCGTCTCTGCTTATCGCCGTCCGACCGCAGGACGTCCTGACCTGAACACAGAGGAGCAGCGTTTGTCTTCAGGACCTCAGGTGAGCTGATAAACCCCTCTGGTTGGCTCAGGTGAGCCTTCCTGCTCCTGGTTTCACCCTCAGCTACCAGGTTAATCATTAAACCAGCAGCTTTCAGTCTGAACTTCGCTCCATCTGCCATCCTAACATGTTTTTAGTGATTTTGATTAAAACTGACAGATCAGCTATGGACCGTCTCAGAGTGACGTCACCGCACAAGACTCCGCCCCCATCTCGCCGCTGGAGGTTTTTTTTTATTATTGTATAAACATAAACAATCAGCTCCATAAAGGTACCGTAATGTATACATTATAAGATCACAGAACAAACTGGGAAAGAGGGAAAAAAGAAAAAGACCTGCTGCCGATGACTGGCATTGGTTTTAACTGCTAAGTTAACATAACATGCTAAATTTTAAATATAAGGAAGTAATTCACTTATTCTAGCTTGACTTTGACAACTTTAACTGTTAAGTTGCAAACTAAAAAAGATCATCAGTAGAGCAGGTGTTTAAATTAGCTAAGCTACCACCGCCAAAAGAAGCAGGAGCTAATTTACAGCTGCTGTGTTAGCTACTAGCAGAAATCTACCACTGCAATCGCTTATTAATAATAGTAAAATAAACATCAACTCAAAAAGCATAAACCTGTAACTGAATGTTTTGTTCTTGGGAAATGTTGAGTGTTTTTGGTGCTGAGGCGTTGTTGTCAGTTGCTATGGCAACGAGTCTGCGCAGCATAGCAGACACAGTGATAGGTACTTTTTCTCGAACCTATATAAAAAGACCACAGACAACGTATATGAATTTTATAGACAAAGCTTTTGCAAAAGGAGAACTCTCCGCCACCGCCTCTCCAGGCCGTTCACAGAGAGTTCTGATCTCCTTCCACGCGAGCCCCTGTTTTATTGTCAAAGCAGACCAGCCAGAAAAAAAACAACAGAGGTCGTAAAATATTTAACCTAAACAAACCAGCAACTCAGTTCCAGGTGTGATATCTGATCTACGATCTGAGCCCAGTTCAGCTCTAGGTCAAACTGTCAACAAAGAGGGAGGATAAACAAGAGACAAAATACGACTGCTCACAGGCAGTTAGGAGGTATTCTGGTTGATAAGAATTAAGGTCTGGGAAACACAGAGTTAACTGTCTCACATGAAGATGAAACAGTCAGTCGTAACCTCCAGGTCAGTTTATACACACATAAGGAAGATTAACATTAGACTGAATATGAACTAAAGTAATAACAAAATGATAATACCAAAAATCTCTATCACACAGAAAGCAAGAAAAAAGTGGTTTCGAGTTGTTCTTTAACTTTTTTTCTGCATTATTTTTCCCTTTGCTGTTGCGCTGCACTAAATCAATAATACCTACATCTCCAGGTGACATTTTGTTAAGTACTGCAGCAGCGCCACTATGGACAGGATGTAAAGGAATAGTCATTTTGCCCTCCAGCATGCGCGAAATTTCCAGATATAAGCATTAACATGTAGGGGGTCAATAAAGTACCTCTCAGGGTTCTGGTGATGATGTCACACTGAGAGGATTAAGACCAAACGGTCGAGAGTTTAAGGCTTAAAGATGTTACTCATCACGGTTGTGGCTGGATGGAGCTAGCGCTATCAGACATAGCATCCATCATTTACCCAGAATGCATTGCGGCATGAACAACATGGCGAAGTCCGTGTGACAATATTTTATTTAAATTTAGAAAAACTAATCAGTACAGTATTATTGCTGTATTGTGTTTACGTCTAAAATAAATATTTCTCAAAGTCGATTGTTCCAACTAATCGTGGATCCCTTTAATGCGCCACTGTTCTGGCTGGAACCTTTGTATTCACATGTTTCTGGTACGCCTGTAAATCTGACACACAAGTGATGGAAGCTGCTTCTCGGTTAATTTCTGCTTCTAATTTATCTGACTGAATGCTGGAAAAGACTGTTGTATCAAAATGTGTTAAAAGAGTTAGCCTGTCAGCAAAGCTGAGCTAGCCTAAAATAGCATCAAGTGCTAAACATGTAGCAGCTGATGCTAATCCTTCATCCATCACTTCAGTGCTGAAGAAGAAATTGGTCCGTTTGATTTGGGTGTTGAAGAAAAGCTGCAGGCTGGAGCTCTTCTGCTCTAGACTGAGACTCAGCTGTTCTAGATTATTATTCACATTTCCAACGGTTTTACAAGAGCCACTAACTGAACCCGTCCTTTATCCTGGAAAAGCTCATGTTGGCAGAAAGCCTTCTTTTGTCCAAACACTTTTCATTCAAATGAGAAGATACTGGGAGACGGTGAAGGCGCTATCGGGTCCAGATGTTAACAGTCTCCCACCTAAAAAAGGAGCATTTGCATACAAAGTGGACCAAGTCACTTCCTATAAAACCAGGACTGGGGCTGAGCTTCACCAGTCTGCTGGTGGATTCCCAGTTGCTCTGCAGAAACTGGTCCAAATCTCCAAACCTCCACGGTCAGTTCAGATCTCACTTCTATTAAATCAACTTCCTTTGTTCATTTTTAAAATGCTTCAACAAACTTCTGAACTGTTTTGTATTTCCAGAAAAAGAATCACCCAGAACTGAAGATCCCGGTACGTTTTGTTTCTCTGACTGTGAATGAAATTAAATGGTTACATGCAGTTTTCATGTCTGATTTAACTCAAGAGCAATGACTTTACTTCCAAAGAAAATGAAGAGTGTGTTATGCTTGTGTTTTTCTGCAGCATTTGAACAAAATGCTGCAGGTTCTCTTTCAGGATTGTTTTGGGCAGAATTGTTCATTTAATCTTTTGCTAAGATAAAAAAGGAAGGTCGAAGCATATTGTTATTTTTATTCATTTCACTCAAACTTCCATTCTTGCAGGTCAGAGCAGGTTTTATACTTTAGCAGAAAGACTTTTTGAAGTGAATCCTGAGCGTTCCAGTCTGTCCTCAGTCATGGCGCCGTCCGGCCCGGTTCTGCTGCTGCTGCTGTCTTCATTCCTGACCTGCAGCCTGAGCGGCCCGCCGCGCTCCGACCTGCAGGAAAACCGCGCTCTGCAGAAGAGAGGAAAGACAGCAGATAACGTAAAGGCTGCAGCTAAAGATCTTCTGGAGATTGTAAATGCAGTTAAACCTTTTATTGGTCTCATTCCAGACGCTGGGTCGTATTTAACTTCTATCATAGATTTTGCAAATGTCATTGCTGGTAAAAATCCAGAACAAGAGCTTCTAGATTATCTCAAGTTAAAATTTGATGATCTAAATGTAAAGATTGATAAAAACCAGAAGGAAATAGTGTTTAACATTTGGAAAAGTACTGAGTATGCAGAGCTGGAGAAGAAAATAACTATAGCATGGGACAAACTCAGGGAGCTGCTGAAGGGCTGTGGAGAGCCTTGCTTTGAAAATCTGAAGAAAGATGGCAAAGACAAAATAATAGAAAATGACTTTAAAAAGGCTGGAAAGTATGTGGATGAACTGCATTATAATATAGTAGGTAAAGGTGCTTACAAAGCTAACTATGAAGAGCTCCTGAAAGACCATGTGAGATGTGATGAACGGCGACTTAAAATATTCTCGGCTGTTAACGCGTTGCTGGTTCACAAAGCCATCACCATGACCAACTTCTACAACCTCTTCATGAACATTAAAACAGACGAAGACGCTCTGGCTAATAAAGCACGTGACATTTCTGCAGCTATGTTTGAGATCCACAAGAACTGCACTTCAGAACCTGATCCGTATGTTAAACTGGACATTCTGGACCTGATCAAAGAGTCAGAGAAGCGTAAGGATCTGGCAAAGAACATCAGGGAGTATTTAGATAAAACATTTTACCACTATAACTGGATGGTGGTTGCTTTTAAAACTAAAAGTTCAAACCATAAAAGCGTTATTACTAAATGGCTGGACAGACACATTTTGACCGGATTTACTCCAGTAGAAAAAGGGAAAACTAGTGTGGCTTTTGCCAAGCAAGCGAAAGGGAGCCACAGGAAAACAGCTCAGGTGGTAGACGCCATTAAGAAATGCTACAACAATCCTGTGCCCTGCGATCAAGTCAGAGCAAAGTTAGAGAGCTGTGCTAACGTGAAGGGCACATATTCAGCCATTCATGCTTTCATTCATAAAGAGCATGGCAGCGTTCATGCTTTAGAGGCAGAAGAAGCTCCAACTGAAGAAGAGTTTGATCCTGAGGAGCAGCAGCCCATCCCGTACCTTTACACTGGGAACTGCACCATGAGTGTGTTTGGCAAAGGAGAAGTTCTCCCTCTTAAACATTTCAGGGTTCTGATTAAAAGTGATGAAGAGTGGATGAATGAGTCTCCCTGTAAAGGAGTCGACTGTGGAGGTAAAGAAAGAGGAAAATGTGTTGAGGTGAAGAACGCCCGCATTGGCCTGTGTGAGTGTGAGAAGAAATACTATGGAGAGAACTGTGAGAAAACCATGGAGGACTACAAGAGAAAGGTGTTTGTTAAAGAAATCCAAAAATCCCCAGAGAGCATGGGCTGAAGGAACCCAGGAGGTTTCTGCTCTCATATTTTATCTTTTCTGTTCATAACCTGAAGTTCACATGTTTTAACCTGAACTGTTTCATGTGTTTCAGTGATTTTGACACATTTGCTTTGTGAAAACTCCATAATTATGACAAATTTTCATTTTAGCCACAAAACATGACAGAAGGAATCAGATTCTCTTTTTTTTCTTGCTTCCATTTTGTTTTGCTCTTCACATGAAAACATGTTTCATCTTTTAACTGTTCAGACGTTTGGAGGAAATGTGGCTGTTGATTAAAAACTGGTTTCATGTTGAAATGATTTCAGGTTTCCAAACATCATGTGTGAACCGTTGTTCAGACTTTCTGTGAAATGATCTCATGTTTCTTTAAAATGATCATTTGCTTCTTTTGGTTTGAGCTTCTGTTGCAACTTTAAAGGAAAAAAACTGATAGAACTTCAACTTTTAGAGTTATTATGTGTTTGTTGTTTTCATTATTATTCTACAACTTTTCCTCCAAAATAAAAACTTTAAAACCAGATTTATTGTCTTCAGTCTTGATGTGAACCAGCCCACCTTCAGGTCAGGCTTCTGTCATTTTAATGAAAAGTTTCCAGTGAGACTAAAAAGAACTCAGAATAATTCATGCATCTCTACCAGCCACCTTTATTAACCATTATTAAGTGTTATTAACCGTTATTAATCATTATTAACTGTTGTTAAACATTATTAACTGTTATTAAACATTATTAACTGCTGTTAATCATTATTAACTGTTATTAACCGTTATTAACCATTATTAACTGTTATTAACCAGTATTAACCATTGCTTACATTATTAAAATCATGTAATTATTACTAGTGCAGCGTTCTCCCTTGTAATTTAGTGTATTTTTCTGAAATTTCCTGGACTTCCCTCCAGACTTTGATCCGATCCTCTGATCTCCATCTTTGCTCTCGGTTTGGTTTCAGCTTCTCTTTTTGATTTGTTTTTGGACTCTTCTTTTTTTTCTTTGGCTGCTTAGGTCATTTAAATCTCAATAATAAGAGGTTTTCCCATTCTGAGTCTTAAAATCAACACTAATAATGTTTTCAGAAGAAGGAAGTCATGATGTGTAAACCCTGAAGATAACATTCTCCTTCTTTTAACCAGTTTTGTTTCTCAGTGTCTCAAATTGACGGTTCATAATATTTTTATTCAACAGCCTTGCATGTGAACACACCATAATAGCTGCAAAATATACAAAAGAAAAATACATTTAGTAACTTAAGCATTATGTTGCCTTCATCTGTTTGATTTATTAATTTACCTTAAATGAATTTTTTCCTTAAATTATTACAACTTTTATCCTTGACTATCTTTGCCTTGAGTGCTGTTATGTTTTACAGTGTATGTTTATTAAATCTTTTGACATTCCTTTCTATAGTTTCCTGTATCATGAAATAAAATTAAATACATCATATTTCAGCTGTCTGTGGCTTTACATAGAATATAATATTAAAACTAATAAACCTTTGTGCTCCTGACTAAACATGACTAACTTACCAAAGAATATTAGCACCCCCTAGTGGGTAAAAACACAATAGCAACCTGTATGTTCCGTGGAAAAATAACTAAATATACATTTATAAACTAAAACATTCAATCCAACCTTGTTCCCTTATCAAACAGGTGCTTTGAGCCACAAACTTATTTATTGTTTATTTATTTATTGTTTATAGTTAATCTGTGTGTACAGCATGCTGTGCTGTTTGCGCCAATCGCTTTACGGTACCTTCCGATTCCAAGCCTTTTCAAAATAAAAGCATTGACAGCATTACTACTGCAATAAAATAATAAACATTTATGAACCGGTTAATGAAACGACAAATATTAGTAAGGCCATTTATATTTCTTGTGTTGCTTGTTGCAGTTATGGCGTCGGTTCTGCTGGCTTCACTCTGTTGGTCCGATGTCGCTACAGATCCGTCGGATCGTCCGGCCTTTGAATTCAGGCAGAAATGGGGAAATGGCTTGACTCTGGTAAAAGAGATGCTGTGACTTTTTAAAGATGTCATAGAAACATTCAAGGAAAACAACATAAGCGCCATAATGAAGAGCCTTTCTGTCGGCGCTAACTTAGCGCCAGACATCGGTGCTGCGGCCTCCTTTGTCATCAACATGGCGTTGATGCTGATCCCTCAGGAAGAGCTGACCGGTGCTGACTGAGGTGAAGAAAGGTTTGGTTGAGCTGAACCGGAAGTTGGACTTCCTCTCCAACCTGGCAACAGATGGAGAAGTTTAAATGAGGCGTCAAAGTGATCGGCAGATATAACTTATACTTCAGCAGCTTGGTGGGTGCGCTGCCACTTTACGGCCAATTTCAGCTGCTGCATATAAGCAGGCCTTCACCTGTCACGAGGCTGCTTGCGTCGTGACGTCAACCGAATCTGCTTCCTTTGTTTGCACTGTTCTGGGTAAGCGTGGCTGTTTTATCGTTTGTCGGCTTTAATAATGGCTATTAATGCTAATTGGTTTATCTGCTTAGTCTCCTTTGCTGCACCTCCAATATTTGGACCGATCTGTCCGTTTATTCATTTGCTGACAGGAAGGTAAGGGCTTAGCGTGGCTAGGTAACATCTACCCCATGTAAACAAAACCTTCACATAGCGTTTTCTTACAGCTGCATTGCATCTAGTCAGAGTTGGGGATCTGATTATTTGGCAGTGCAGTCATTAATCAGGTCACAGGTAAGCAGCTGCTGCAAGTTATGTTTTTGTTAGCAGTTGTATTAATAATTTGCTCTATTCTTTTTAGCCTTCTGACTCATCAGCATTGCACCTGGAGTGACACTCGCTGCTGTTTTGCCTACTTATAAATTGTTTTAAAATACTAATCTGCACTTTTCCTGGGGATAAAGTGCAACATTGTAGGGCTACTGTATCTCTGTTTTACTTGTATTGTTCCATTTTCTTGTCTGTCTTTTAGGGACTGAGGCTTCTGTGGTGGCGGTGTGTTGTCTTGTGTGTTTTGTTGGAGCACCTTTTTCTTTGTTTGCTGTGTTTTTGTAGTGTCCAGGGTGGTCCCCTTTTTCTGGATGTTGCCCCTTCCCTCACTCCCTCCCCCATCGGTAAGCCTCAGTTTCCTTTGAAATTTAGACATTTTATTATCTTGTTAAATGCATTCACTGTTTTAACCATTCAATTTCAGATTATTGGAAATTAAAGATATTTTGAAGTTTAATAAATTTTGTATAACTTTCTGAATCTCGTCTCCTCATTTCCAGTAGAACTTACCTGTGTCCTTACTACATTATATTTTCCTGGATTTATTCCAGGTGGCGTTGTTCATCGTAACCTTTAATATTTTATATTTGGGTTCATGCTAAGAAAATCCACCCCCCAGGTTGCCACAATATTCAGATGTTTGATAAGGTTTTTCAAGGCCAGCCTGCAGCCATAGACAAGGACAACTAGGAAGATTTTGAAAGATGTAAAGGAGATCGCCAAAGGACTTGGTCCTTATAACCAAACAGCCATTGCCCTTAATGTGAAAGAAATCCTGGACGAAAGGTACAACTGGGTGGTGGCAGAGTACAGGAAGGCAGACAAAGCCCATTGTGTTTGACGCCACTGAGATCGATGCAGGAGAAACCATTGTTCTGGTGAGGTTCTCTCAGGACCACGGCTACATGGAGAGCCTGTTTATGTAAAGGCAAAAGAATGATTTGGAACAAAATATAGTTCTGAACTTCAACCAGACAAGTGTGAGTACAAACATGAGAGTGAACATATCAGCGGTCTAGTTCTGGTTCTTCTACTGTGATTCTCCATCAGTAGGCCAGAGTAACTCATGGCTCCTCTGGTGAAGATGTGGCAGAGACCCAGGGGTCGACTGTTATTGGGGGCGTTATTCTTGGGGGAAGGCTTCGGTGCGTTACTCCAGAAAGATTCCCGTCTGCCCTGAAGATGAATGTCAGAACGGCGGCACATGTGAGAGGATTCTGGACTCCAACCAGGATCTGCAGGTGAACGGATAGGGGGACGATGTGAGCTGCACTTTGGCACCAGAACGAGAGGAGAAATGGAAAAGGAGGGGCTGAGAATCCTGGAGTCCAAACTGGAAGAAGTCATGAAGAAATGTCAGATTTCTGCAGATTATGGATGATTCAACCTGAAAAACACCTGAAGGCAAGAAGCAAGACCTGATAGTCCTTCATTAACACATGAAATTAAACAAACCACCAGCAGGTGGCGCCATAGTAAACGTGAAACCACATCTGCTTTTCTCAGTTTTTGCTCTAAAGTTGAAGGTGAACCGCCATGCTGGGATCCGACCCGAGTCCTGCGGATCTTTCAGAGACTGAACCGTGTCGAACTGAGACTCGTTCAGTTCCTCTGGTTCTGTTTGGCTCCAGTCCAGCTGGTACCGTGTCGTCAGGCCTGTTTGTCTGCAGGAACAGAAAACCGTTTCCACAACTACGAGTCAGAGAGAAGAACCGTTTCAGCCGTTCATCGTGACTCAGGAACAAGCAGCGACACGGAGCATCGAACCATCGCCTGCAGGTGAGCGAGCAGAAACCTGCGTCCCCACCCGGGCAGGAGGCGTGTCCCTGGTGCCGCTTCCCCACCACGGTCTGCTGCAACCCACTGGTTGCCATGGCGACGGCGGGCCTAACCTCTCAGTCCCGGTTCAGAGGCTTCAGGAGGAACCGGGACCAGGAAGGAAAACATCAGGTGTGAAGTGAAATCCCAGAAAATCCCAGCAAACTGAAGCTCAAAGCAGCGCCACCTTCTGGAGCTTTAAAGCAAACAGAAGAACAAATCCTGGGATTCTGCTCCCAGTAAGGAAACATACTGTGGAATCCATGATCCCAGCTGGTTCGTCTGGATCTGAACCAAAACAAACTCCAGTTATGAACAACGGCTTCACTTTGGAACGATCCGGATCCGGAACCAGAGAACGAAACTCAAGTTAATGCAGTGTGTTGACGTTCTTACAGGTTTATTATCTCAAACTATTCTAACATCAAATGGCTCTATCTATCTATCTATCTATCTATCTATCTATCTNCAGAGGCTCCGCCGAACCCCTGGGGTTCATCGAACCCAGGTTAAGAACCACTGGTCTAGAGTTATAGATCTAGAGTTACAGATCTAGAGTCAATGCACAGCTTCAGTTATTACAACTAAAACCAGCGATCAGCCCGAAACGTGGGAGCAGTGATGACCTCTGACCTGAACCTTCAGAGCCACATAAAGACAGTCACAAAGTCGGCCTTCTATCACCTGAAGAATCTCCAGGATCAGAGGACTGATGTCTCAGATCAGAGAAACTCATCCAGGCGTTTATCTTCAGTCGCATTGATTCCTGCAGCAGCATCTTCACAGGTCTGACCAACAAATCAATCCTCCAGCTGCAGCTGATCCAGAAGCTGCTGCTGCTGTTCTGACTAGAACCAGGAAGATGGAGACATAACACCAGATCTACAGTCCTACAGCTGTAGCTCCCTGTAGCTCAGAGAACAGACTGTAAAATCCTGTTAGTTTATAAATCACTGGACGGTTTAGCACCACAACCATTAAAGATCTGCTGCTGCTGTATCAACCTGCCAGACCCTCAGGTTCTGGTTCTGGTTCTGCTCTGCATCCAGAACCAGAACCAAACGAGGAGAAGCAGCATTCAGCTTCTATGCACCACAGATCTGGGACAAACTAACAGAAAACTGAGAAGCAGCAGAAACACTGACTTCCTTTAAATCCAGACTCCTGGTTAGTTTTATTTGAATCGAGATCAATTTATCGACTTAATGTCTCGTTTTATTGTTGATTCTCTGCTGCATGACTTTGTTTCTGTGTTTATGATGTAAAGCTCTTTGAAATGCCTGCTGCTGACATGCTGTACAGATAACATTTGATTGGTTGATTGATTCTGTCCCATCAGAACCACCATCAGGATCCAACATGGCTCCGTGTTCCTGACAGCTTCCTGTTTTTCCTTTCCAGGTTTTTCCGGGCCTGGACCAGTAGAACCTTTCTGCTTCTCACCTGCCTCTGAGACTCACAGACTGAACCCGGATCAGAACCTGGTCCAGGTGCAGAACCTCTGTTGGCTATGGAAGTGTATTTTTATTCTCATCTCCATGGTAACCAGTCAGCTGCCATCTCCAGAACCTCTGCTGGTTCTGCTGTTTTAACCCATTTATGCTCCATCTGTCAGTGTTTGGTTCTGATGAAATGGACCGGACTTCTACTCAGAACTCCCAGTTTGCCTTTGTTGGAGCAGGAGAAGCTCAGGAGCGAGGTTCTGCCGGGCCGGGCCTCCGAACCTCTGGTTTGGTGTAAATTCTCCAGAAGTGGGACGCGAGGCGATCTTTGACCTTCAGTGACTTTCTGCCATGTTCTTTGGTGATTCTTCTTCTGTGGTCGTGTTCATTGATCCATTGATTGATTGTAACTGATTATTATCACTGGATTAACCTGCAGTCGGTGCAACGCTGTGGCTCCGAGCTGAACGGACAGAACCAGCTGGATTCACGTCATCTATTTAACCCGCTGCGTGATTGGACTGGACCTCTGCAGGCGGCTGGATCAGAACCAGAATAGCAAATGATCAGAAACAGCATCCAGTTTAGTTTTATGGAAGCCTCTAACTGCAGGAGCTGCTGCTGTTCTCCTTTAAATCAGTAAAATATTTTAATTTTAATGAGATTATAAAACTCTTTGAGACCAAAAAGAATCTTGTTTTTTACCTGAATTTTAGATTTAGCCTATTTAATCTAAAACTAACATGTAAAGATAAATAGTTTTATATTTGGCAATAAAACTCATGAGAAAATATAAAACTAGTTATTGAGTTAAAAATCTCATGTCGATTTACAAATCTCATAACGAAACCTAAAACTTCCTGTAATTAAATATCAATCTAGTTATTATGAGATATAAAACTTTTAGTTGACACAATAAACCTGTAATAAGAAGAAATCTCCTTACTCTCAGATTTTGTTCAAATGAGATTAAAACTCTGGGTTATAATTTTTACTGAATTAATTTATCAGCTCTGGCAGTTAAACGCTTCCATGAAGAATATCATTATTTGTGAGGTTTTATTACTTTTTGCCAATAAAGGTTTGTTTACATGTGTTAAAGGAAAATACTGAGGGATTAGGAGCAGTGATGGCATAGTTATTTTTGAAAAGGTCACTTTAATCGGATTACTGATTAGTCCTTGAAAAAATAACTTAGATTACTGACTACTTGATTTGGAAAGTAACTAAGTTACATTAAAAGTAACTTTTTAGTTACTTTCAGCAGCTGCTGACAACACTCTGCCACCTGTGAAAATTACTTTGATCTTTGCCAAAACATAATTGCAAGTTATTTTATATCGGGGGTCTCAAACTCAATTTATCCAGGGGCCGCTGGAGGCAGAGTCTGGGTGTGACAAGAGTTAGGGTGCGTTCACACTGCAGCCTGAATTCCGATTTTTTGTCAAATCAGATTTTCTTTCGCCGGGCCGTTCACACTGTCACACATATGTGACCTATATGTGTTCTGCAGTCTGAACGAGCAAACGACCTGAAAGTGTCCCGCATGCGCAGTAGAGGGCGCCATAGCGTCAGCGTTCTCAGTGTTCTGCCAACCGCCATAAAAAGAAGAAGTGCTCAGTGTTTGCGGAAGTAAACATGGAGGTAAACAGTGGAGCTTAGCTTACATATTTGAAGTTGTTGTCCGAAAGGAGCAGCATATTAACAACTTAATCCTCATTATAGTCCGTCATAGTTGTTTTTCTTTCCACTTGCCCGTGTCAGGACGCAGAATTTGCTGAGTATCAGTGACGTTCAGTTCGGATGAATGCGGCCTGGACATTAGGTCGCATCTGATTCGGATACGGATCGGATATGGGTCACATTCTTAAAGAATCCGACCTGTGCTGTTCAGACTGTCATGAAAAGATCAGACACAGGTCACATTACTTCAAAAACAAAACAAAAAACAATCAGAATTGGGTCACTTCAGGCTGCAGTGTGAACGCACCCTAAGTTTATTCCACTTGGCGTCGCTCCGGTTCTACGTTTCATAGAAGTCTTTAGCCAGCTAGCAACGTATGGAGAACGTCTCGACGCGTGACGTCATCACCGCTTCTACTTGTCAAACAGGCGGTGGATGACGCAGCCCGGTAGCAGTCTCCTTTCTCTGCGTTTGATCATGACATTAATGGTAGAAAGAACCGGAATGGCGACTGCAGGGAAGGGAACCTGGTACCGGACTGGTCCATCATCTGCCGCTCTGTTGTTACAAGCGTAGTGTGCATGAAGTCAGTGTAGCTTAGCCTAGCACCGAATGTCAGCCATGACGAGGAACGGCGAGCGGGACTCCCTTCAGAGGCCCGCTCACCCTGTGGGCCGCACTAATTTATACTTTCATATCACGGTGGGGCCACCAGACATCGTCCCGCGGACCGAGAGAATGAGACCTCTGTTTTATATCAATAATATATTTCCACTTATGAGGTTGAACTGAAGGGAAGATTGTTTAATGGTTACAACAGTCCGAAAAAGGTTTGTAATTTGTGTGTTCCACTATTGTCTGGAAAACTCTAAGAAGGATTTTAAAGCCCCCCTCCTGCCCCAGCCTCCAGGTTCTGCGTTACGGGCCTGCGTTTGCTGTCGCAGCGCATAGCGCTCCTCCTGCGGCTCCACAACTCGGATATCCTGCACATATTTGAGACACTTATCTTAATATTAATAATTATAATTGCGTTTAGTTTCACAACTTTAAGGTCACGTCCATTCGTGGCTGTTTTCACTTTTATTGCGCTGTTCACATTAGTCTCAATGTTTGCAGTTTTCTGGAGCGCAACGCGAAGCTCGACCTCATTCACAGTGTAACCGGTGTATACTAGGGTTCTTCACTAATATCCTAGTCTTATACGGTCGGTTAACCTTGATGTGTTCTGCGTTGTGTTCAGTTGAAGGAGGGACTCAGACCACTGGAGCTGCTGGTTGATCTTTAATGCAGGTTGCTGGCAGAGCCCTGCACAAATAGAAATAAAGATGCCCTTTAACATGCAGCTCTTCCATTCACAGGAGTCGGAATTCCCCTCAGGCAGCCTAGCGCCAACTGAGGGCAGTGCAGTACTGATGTCATAGGACACTCTCTTAAAGTGACAGTAAAGGTACTAGTGTTTTCCAAAAATAAAATACAATTCTTAAAATATAACAAAAAAAAAAAAAAAAAAGAATTCTTCAGTGTTAATCAGGATTTGGTGAAATTTCAAACATAATTTTTTTTTTTTTAAATTCACATTTTCTGAACTTGTTACAACAGCAAATATATTAACTTCACATGAATAAAGACACAGCGGGACCGATCATCCGGGAAATGATGGACAGGAGAGTCTCACTAAAACGACCTGGATGACGGACAAATTCTGGGATTTATTATGAGTCTCTGCTTATTTCCAAGCCCAAATGAGTACCTTCACATTCAAAAACGAGCCCCAAAAAGCGCAACCCGCGAGTCATTAAATTTATAAGCTAATTTAGAAACAAAAAAAGCCCAAAGCCGCTTATAATAATCGGACTTGGCAACAGAAACTCAAAATAATTCCTGTTTTTCAAGCTACGAAATCCGCATCTCCCATCTCCCTCCATTGTTTCCATTTCTGTCGCTGCTGACACTGTCGCATAGAAACGGCGGTCTCTCCCCAAGACGCGTAGAGGAAATAACATTAAATTACAAAAGAAAATAGTAACAACTGATTTTAAGTAACTGTAGTCTGACTACTGGATTTGAAATAGCAATGCGTTAGATTAGTCGTTACTGAAAAAAGTGGTCCGACGTCAGAAACGCGTTACTTTGTAACGCTTTACTGACATCACTGATTAAATGAAATGACCCGGTTCTGACCCACAGAACCCAGACAAACCTCGAGTCACTTATTCGTCTTATGACTTATAGAATGCTGCCAGACCGAAGCAGTTCGGAATGAACCGGTACAGAGGTGAACAGAACCAGAAACAGGTCCATTTGTTGTTAAAAATGGCCTCCCCCGTTTCCCTCCCGCCCCTGTTGTTTACAGCGCAGAAGAAGCGCCGCCCCTCCCACACCGGCTCCGCCTCCTCTTCCTCCTAGCTGCTAACCAGCTAGCTGTAGCTGAAGCAGGGAAACATCCCGATCTGCGGCTGGTTAACGTGGAACCCTGCGCACTGCGCTTCAGCTGGACGACCCTTCCTCCTAGGAGAACCTCAGTCTTCTCCATGGCTCACTAGGAGCCGCTATGATGGACAGTTAGCAGCGGGGTTAGCTGCAGCTTCGCTCCGGGAGAACCGGAGCCTCTAGCGCCGCTTTTTAGCCCCCAAAGGTCGGATTAGCTGCCATGTCATCAACCGCTCTCAGCCGCCAGGTCTGTGGCTTTTATTCACGGTTCGATTCCGCTTAAAACGAAGTAGGTCACCGCGGATGGTTATGTGGGTCACAGCCGCGGATGGGTTAACTAGTCCCCCCCGAACAGCTGGTTAGCTCCGGAGCTAACCAGAATTTCAAGGGAAAAACAGCCCGCAATGAGATTTTTCCTGATAAATCCGCTTCTTGGCGGATGGACACAGACACTGCATGGTTCAGTTGACTTCTTATTTGTTCTGTTTGTCGGAACCAACTACTTTAACCGAGCTAACCAGTAGATTAGATCGAACAAAGGTGACTGAACCCTCTGGTTACTGGGCTGGATCAGGAGCTAAATCCGTCCTGCTGACAGCCGGAGCTGAAGTTGGTGTCTGATTGAGTCTGGGTCTCGCGACCGAGATTCTGGATCAGATTCTGTAGGTTGTGGACCGGTAGTGGTTCTGGAACAAAATCTTAAGGTTCTGGATCAGAATCCAGTGGTTCAGGGCCGGTACTGTTTGATTCTGGACTGTTACTGGGACGGTACTGGTCGTTATTCCTGTTGATACTGGGTCAGATCGAGGTTGACGGTTTAGAATCTTGGATCGGCTGCTCAGGTCTGGACTCGGACCCTGCGCTGATTCCAGAGTGTTTCTATGATCCAGACCCGCTCAGACGAGCACAGAGTGATGGATTTGAAATATTAACGCTGATCTCAGTTCATTAAATAACCAGAACTGGAAACTTGTATGATCCTGGGGATCATGAACGATGATAACGTTAGGAAATGATAAAAATAAAAAGATTGCAGGTTTAACAGTCCAGATAGTAATCGATCTAGAAAAAACATTCAGAGTTTATTTATCTATAAGGAAACCAGAGAGAGTTTTGATCCAAAATCGCTTCCATAAAATGTTCCGTTTTTCCTTCTATTAAGGCGATAAAGTGACAGTTATGGTCACGTGGTCTCTGGAAGAATTAATCTGCCCGGCAACAGCCAGACCACTTATTGCTATTAGTAATGGCCGATAACCAATATTATCGGAGTTACCATGGAAATCCAGGTCCACAAGGACCTGATGCTGCTCTTCTTTGAGCTCTACAGAACCAGACGGAGGTTCTGGTGAATGACCCGGTCCGGTTCTGGACCCGTAAAAACGTATTGTTTATTTGAAACTTTGTAGGTTTTATTTTGAAAAGTTTTATTTAAATAAAGCTTGACTTCCCTGGAGGTTCTGGTTCTGTGACCCGGTACCGACAGATTAAAGTGACAGCTTTGGTTATGAACTGTTTCTGCTAGAAAAGGTTCTGGTACCGGCTGCAGGTCTTGGTTCTGAAGGGGTCCAAATCTGACTCCCAATTTTTGTCTCTTCCAGAACCCAGTCCGACCATGTTGAGTGCGCGGTTCTGAGCCTGAGCGGGACCAGCAGCAGCAGCAGCAGCAGCAGCAGCCCGGTACCGCTCCCACTGCCTGGACTGATAGCGGGTTGGGTAGGGATGGCGTTCCATGGCGCCGGCCGCCAGACTGTCTGCGGCGACCTGTTCCCGGGTTCGGACCTGGGCCACAAGTTCTTCTGTGTGGGCTCGTCCTGCGGCGGGCCGTCAGCCGGCCTTGGCGCTGCGCCAGGCCTGACTGGGCCCAGCGCCCCGGCCGGAACCCCGCGCCACCCGACCGCGCTGGGCGGCGGCGCCGGCGGCGGGGCGGCGGTACCGCAGCCCTACAGCAACCCAGCCAGCGAGGTACCGAGCCCGGCCGAGATGGAACCGGACCGCCCCATCGGATACGGAGCCTTCGGGGTCGTCTGGTAAGAACTGGGTCTGGTTCTGATCCGGGCAGAACCGGGTCTGGTTGTAGTATAACAGGAAGCTGTCCACTCCCCCTGACCTTTGACTCCAGGTCGGTGACGGACCCCCGTGACGGCCGGAAGGTGGCGCTGAAGAAGATGCCGAACGTCTTCCAGAACCTGGTGTCCTGTAAGCGGGTCTTCAGGGAGCTGCGGATGCTCTGCTTCTTCAAACACGACAATGTATGGCCGCTTCTGAGAGCGCTCAGACCGCCGCTCCCTCAGGTTCTGACTCCGGTTCTGTTCTGGTTCTGCAGGTTCTGTCGGCTCTGGACATCCTGCAGCCTCCGCAGATCGACTGCTTCGAGGAGATGTATCCTTCAGGCGGTTCTGACCCACTTTAGTCCTCTCTGATCGGGTTCGGTTAGCATCCTTAACGTCCCGGCAGCTACGTCATCACAGAGCTGATGCAGAGTGACCTTCACAAGGTCATCGTGTCGCCGCAGCCGCTGACCACCGACCACATCAAGGTCTTCCTCTACCAGATCCTCCGAGGTCAGTCCAGAACCGGGCAGGTTCCACCAACACCTACAGAACCTGTCCAGAATCTGATTGGTTCAAGGAACACATCCGGAATGCTTCAGAACATCGGACCGGTTCTGGATGTGTTCCTGGACTCAGGTTCAGGTCTGCTTCACCCGGAGAGACTCGGGTCGACTCGGAGGTGATCCGTCTAACGGCTCTTCCTCCTCTCCAGGTCTGAAGTATCTCCACTCTGCTGGGATCCTCCACCGAGACATCAAGCCTGGGAATCTGCTGGTCAACAGCAACTGCCTGCTCAAGGTCAGCTGCTCACCTGGAGGGGTGGGGCTTAAATACAGAGGAGGCGGGGCTTAAGTACAGAGGAAGTGAGCTTTATCTAGGACACTAAGCCTTTGTCTCTGCTCAGATCTGTGACTTCGGCTTGGCCCGCGTGGAAGAGCCCGACCCGTCGCGTCACATGACCCAGGAGGTGGTGACCCAGTACTACCGGGCCCCGGAGGTTCTGATGGGCTGCCGGCACTACGGGTCGGCCATCGACGTCTGGTCGGTCGGCTGCATCTTTGCCGAGCTGCTGGGTCGCCGCATCCTGTTCCAGGCACAGAGCCCAATCCAGCAGGTGAGTCGGATCTGCACGGCTGGTACCGGAGGAACGAGAGGTAACGACTGCAGAGGTTCTGGAGGTTCTGGGTCAGGGGCGCGGTATAGGGGGGAAAAGTGATGACAATTCTAGGGGCCCTGACCAGCAGGGGGCCCTCCACAATTTAGTTATTTATATTTTGTTCATAGACATAAAATAAAAAATTCGGGGTCCTGTCAAATACAAAATTAATCATATTGTATTTTCAAAGATTGTTTTTAGCAGTAAAAATGTAATGTTCCCGCTCCCAGACCAAAAACATCCGTATTTGCCCTGAACCCCCGTCTGCGTTAAATGGTTCGTTCCTGCTTGGAGCTTCAGAGTGACGCTGTTAGCAGCAGACAGTGGGAAACACGAACGATGGTGGCGGTTACTCTGCTGCTAAGAAAAGTTATAAAATCAGGTTTTCAGACAAAGAGAGAGAGAGAAAAAGGTAAGAGTGTTAATTTATAACCCAGTTTTTCTCCGAGAGGTGAGTAGACTGTGTGAGATTATCAACC